CTCGGGCGAGCCATCGATACATCGAATGTGTCTCTACAACAGTGATCGCCATATATTCTTCGGCAGCGCGGGTGGGGAGGGGGGAGTCCATGGGTCCAGAAATGTTTCTTATTACGGTTGTTTTAGCGCGTTTAAGTAATTACTTAAGTAAGACTTAAGTCTCGTGCGGGTGCGCTTTGTTTCTCCGCTATGCTTTCCCTCCCTCTCCCCATACACGCCCCTCCCCCATTTCTAAGCCGAATCCTTTCCGAGCTGAAAATATGTCAAGTTAGTAAAGCTAATCTTCTCTCGCATGTAACAGTGTTACTTCTTTATTTTTGTTTTTCCGCTATGCTTTCCCTCCCTCTCCCCATACACGCCCCTCCCCCATTTCTCAGCCGAATCCTTTCCGAGCTGAAAATATGTCAAGTTAGTAAAGCTAATCTTCTCTCGCATGTAACAGTGTTACTTCTTTATTTTTGTTTTTTGAAAGTGCACCGGGAACGACCGGTGTAAGAGGCTGCTGTGAGGTCGGGAGGATGAGGTTGTGGTCTGTCTGTACCGGCGCCGCCGTCACCGCGCAAATTGGGCGTCCAGGCGCCGGGAAACAATTACCTCCCGGACTTCATCGCGTTGTCACAGCTTCATTACCCACATGGTCGCAACAGAGTTCTGGCCGGCCATCAACATATTTGTAAGTTTTACAGTCAAAATGGCCCACTCAGTGTGATGTGATGTGACACGTTTAACTAGTGCAGCCAATAGGGCTATGGGGGACACACTACTGTACCAGGTGGCTGACTCTCCGCTGTTGCCCTGTACCGCGTGCAGGCGTGCTGACGAGTAGCCTATCCGATCCGAGACGTAACGCGCGTGGTCAGGTGTACGATACGCAAACCCACACGCACGCATGCATGCGGTAGAGTACAAACAACAAAAGTGCACGCTGATCGTTTTAGGTTTTCGAGTCGGCAGTGCAGTTCTAATCCCTACGGAAGGCATCCTGTTTTGGTACGGCCCTTGTGTTCAATCCCTTTCACTAGGTCAATCTATCCCCCCCCCACCCCACCTCCCCATTTCCCACTTCTCCCTTCTTGCCCTTCTCGATCTGACAATTTCTTTATTTTCCCAAAATGACTTATCGCTATCTAAGTTTGGCGATGGCGAAGCCGGCAGAGCCACTCCAGATCCGGTTCGGTTCGAAACCTTATGGCGGCTTTGTTCTCCACCGATCCAATTTTTATTATTATTATTACTGTGAGGCGCTGACCCCCAGCTGACCTGTGTTGGCACGGCGCTCCGCCCAGCCCAGCCCCAGCCCCGCTTTCGAGTCGCTTTGCCTTAGCGCGCTACCCGCTTGGAAATAAATAGCTGAGTAGCTGAGTTCACAGTTAAACAACGGTCCAAAGTCGCGTAAATTACTATAAAGGAACATCAAAAATTAATCGTGAATTTAACTGCTAACGGGCGGGTTGCCGTAAGCTCAGAACATTAAGGCACCATGGTAGGAGGTAGACAACCCCGTGCGCACACATGCATACGGGCTGGTGTACACGGTAGGCACTGCGGCCACCGCTAGCCACCCACCCCGCATCGTGTGTCGTGTTATGGCTACGACGCTGACGATGCAGTGTTGCGGGCTTGCCTACCCCAGGAGGCATGGCGCCTTACGGGTGGAGCCGAGTAGTCCAATCCGTACGACGCGGTGTCGTAGCTCTGACACACGGTATAGAGATTCAGATTACCTCGTGGATCACGGATGACGCACAGTCTAATAGCAGAACTAGCTTTCCCTCGAGCTTCGTGGCTGTGAAGGAAAATGTTCATTTGCGCGGGAGTGGGCGCCTTGCTTTTGAAATATCGCGCAGGATAACGGCTGCTCCATTTTGAGGTATAAGCTTTGCGTTGGAGCAGGCCTCCCGCGGTTAACGAACGGACAGAGCGATACAGTAATTAATTGGCACCATTACCCGGCTATTATACGCGACCCTCGATGACTCAACCCGATCCTGAACTAGACTAGGTGAGGTGGGTAGGTAGGCCTCGAGCAGGTAGGTAGGTAGGTACGCCCGCCTGCTGAGTTTCAGCGGCTGGACTATCGCACTCTCTCGCCAGTAGCTAGCTTCAAGGGCTGCGTGCGAACATTGCCTATACCCGACTTTCGGACGTATAGTCCTGCACTCCTGGGAAAGACGGTGGAAGGGGCGGAGAATATGTTTATTTTATATAGATGGCGCACCGTACATACCTATGCTAGAAGTCGAATATTCCTCCCCTCCGTTCCTCTAAATATCCCAAATCTCTTAACCCGCTGTCTTACTTTTAAAAAGCCCCCTAGTACGCGTTATATGTGTCAACATTTTAATCATACTGCTTTGCAGATCTAACTTTAGAAAAAGATGTCCCTTTTAACTTCGAAACTAAAGTCTTTCAACTTTAAGCTGCGAGGCTGTTGAGTATGGAAGTATGCCAGTAAACATCAGACTAGACGATTAAACGTCTCGCAGTTTAAACTGGCATACTTTAGTTTCGCAGTTAAAAATTACATCTTGTTCTTGTTTTCTGATTTGGGATACTTAATGGGACAGTGGAATGTTT